AATAATTTAGTCGAACTTTAATGGAACTTTTACAGATCTTTGGTTGTAATTTGGATGAAATTTGGATGTAATTTTTATGAATTTTGATGAATTTTGGATGAAATTTGCATGAAATTTGGATAAAATTTTGGTAAAAATTGGATGAAATTCCTCTTAACTTTTCCTGATCTAGCCTGTATAAAATTTTGATGGAATTTGGATTCAATTTGGTTGAAATTTCTCTGCAATTTGCCTGATCTGAACTTAACTATTAATTTAGCCGAACTTCGATGGAACTTTTGCAGATCTCTGGATGTAATTTGGATGAAATTTGGATGTAATTTGGATGTAAATTGGATGTAATTTTTATGAATTTTGATGAATTTTGGATGAAATTTGGATGAATTTTGGATGAAATTTGGTTGAAATTTGGATGAAATTTGGATGAAATTGGTATGAAATTTGGATGAAATTTGGATAAAATTTTGGTAAAAATTGGATGAAATTCCTCTGAACTTTTCCTGATCTAGCCTTTATGAAATTTTGATGAAATTTGGGTGAAATTTGCATTAAATTTGGATGAAAATTTGATTCAATTTCGATGGAATTTGGATTAAATTTGGTTGAAATTTCTCTGCAATTTGCTTGATCTGAACTTCACTATTAATTTAGTAGAACTTCGATAGAACTTTTGCAGATCTTTGGATGTAATTCGAATAAAATTTGTATGAAATTTTGATGTAATTTTTGGCAAGCAATTTGAATGAAAATTGGATAAAATTAAGGTGAAAATTGGATGAAATTTCTCTGAAATTTTCCTAATCTAGCCTGTATGAAATTTTGATGCAATTTGGGTGAAATTTGGATGTAATTTGTATGAAATTTTAATGGATTCACTATAGTAGAACTTCTTTGAATTTTCGATGAAATTCGGAAAAATAATTGGATCAAATTTGGATGAAATTTTGATGAAATTTGGTTGAAATTTGGATGAAATTTGAACTAAATTTTGAAAAAGTTTTCATCAGAGTTGCCTGATCTGGACTTAACAATTGCTATAGTAGAACTTCGATTAAACTTTCGCCGATCTTTGGCTGAAATTTGCCTCAAATTTGGATGAAATTTGGACGAAATCTGGATGAAATTTGGATGAAAATAAAAAGAAATTTGGATGAAATTTTATTGAAATTTTGATGAAATTTGGATTAAGTTTGGATGAAATTTTGATGACATTTTGAGGAAATTTTGATGAAATTTTGATGAAATTTTGACGAAATCTGGATGAAACTTGGAAGAAATTTGGATGAAATTTTGATGAAATTTGGATGAAATTTTTATGAAATTTGGGTGGAATTCGGAGGAGATTTCCTTGAACTTTTCTTCTACTTTAGATACCCGTTGACTGATCGAAACTGAACTTAACTATTACTTTTGTTGCTTTTTTGTTTATTTATTAAATAAAATTTTGTTAAAAAAATGATTTTATGGTATAAATTAACGCTTTAGCAAGAAGTTCATATATTTCACCAAAAGTTTTCACTCTACGGATTTTTGCAATTATTATGTGTCCATAATTTAAAACATTCCTAAGGTTTGTATTTTTCGTGAGTTTATTAAAAAAAACTAACAGTGACGTTTTGACGTATTTTGATAACTTTATCTTTTTTACTTGAGATTCCTAAAACATGTACGTGTTTGTATATTTTTCCCAAAAAAAACATTATTTCTCGTAAACAACTTTGTCTCCGACGTAATTTCGATCAGAAGTCGCGTTTCAGTGCTTCAATTTGTTAAAAATGGTCAAAGACGCCATTTTAAAAATTGTACAAGATTCAAAATGGCCGAATTCTACCAAAAATGTCTATCACTGCCCATACCAAACAATTATGCAAAGTTTCATGCAAATAGGCGATGGTCTAGTGTTTTTCGATTCTTCATTTGGAGTGGAACTGCTCAAATCTAAGGAGATGTTTGAGAAAATCCAAAAGAATCCCTTTTTCTTTTACTTTTATAAACTTCACTGAATTGGGTTCTTTAAGGGTATTGAGGTAAATGCATATTCGTAGTCTGCATTAAAAATGGAACCCAAACCCAAAATTTCATCAATTTTGGTACACTGGAACTATTTTAAATAAGAACGATTACATTCGCAAAAATCACCTTATTAGCGCCCCTCGGTGTCACTTTGTATGGGAGCGAGCTGTCAGTTTGTCAGTTTAGTGTCAAACAGTGAAGTTATTATTTTGCTTTAAATCTTGATTTAAAAATCGAGATGAAAGTGTGTGGGTTCGAAAAAAATATCGCTGTGCTCAGAAAGCGAAGCTCTTTCAGATGATATATAAAAACCGATATATTTTTCAAAATTAAAGAACCCAATTTCTCTACAGAGCATTTCCAGCCCAACGCTAAACAAAAATGTCAGTTTTGTCTCGACCCCATCAGATTTGAATGAAACATTGCTCATATGTTCGCTACTACCAATGATCTGATTCGTTATCTAAATATTTTTTAACTCAAGAGCAACGTTTGAAAAGGGTGTATTCTAAAAATGAATTATATTTTCATAACATGCAAATGATTGATCTTATAAAAATAATAGCTCGAAATAAGTTGTAGTTAATTAAATTTTCTTTGAGAAAAAAAACTACACTCAAATAAAAACTGAGGTAGTTCATAGCAATATAACAAAAAAAGCTAATTTTCTCAAAACAACCCAAGAAGTTTTCGTGACACAGGCACTTTGAATAACTATTAAGAGAATAATGGAATTTCAAACGAAATTTTGAGGAGCAATAAGAATAAATTCTAGGGATAACGCCAAAGTATTGCAAAGATGAATTTCAATGGAGTTTTGGAAATTACCTTAAGAGAGTTTTGAATAGAATTTATAGTCAAATGTAGGAAAAGATCCAATGTTTTTGTGAGAAGACTAATTCAAATACGTTCTGAGAATAATTTTTAGAAAGTTCTATTAATAATTCCAAGAAAACTCCGAGGATACTGAATTCTGAGGATAGTACCACGATAGTTCCAAGGAAATTCAGATAAGAAGCCCAAGGGAATCAAATTTTGAAATTCTGAGAAGATTTTTAAGGAATTTTCAAGGATAATTTCGAGATGAGTACAGATAATTCAGAGCATAATCTTATCTGAGGTGAATTGTTCGGAAATTCTATGGAGAATTCAAGCGATTTTAAAATAGCATTATGAAAGGAAGGTTTTTGTAGACTTTTGGACGAATCATTTAAAAATAATCTTAGGATGGATTTCATGATTTTTGTAAGAATTTTTCTGCATGAATTTTCTCAACTGTGATTAAGAAATGTCAAGGAAATTCCAGACAAGGGTTCTCAAATTTGATTAGAGAAATTCTTTAAAGAACTATGTCAACGAAAATGATTTAAGAAGAATGATTAGAACATTTAACAAAAAGATTTCTATGCGAATTTTCCAGGCTGTTAAAATAAAGACCAACTCAGCTATCTTTGTAATTTCTCATTTAAGTTAGTGATGCTTTCGGCTGAATCCTGAATCGCATTCGGCCTATGCTTAATTTAAATGAAAATCGCTCAACCGACAAGTTAAAACGAAGAACAAATGACCTGTCAGAGGCAGTCGACCGAATTAATCACAGCTTTCGGTCGGGGGTGAGTTTTAAAATCAATCAACGGGGAATTCGACGGATGACAATTTTCCGATGAAATCTGCGAATCTTAAAATCAGCTCCGTTTTAAGCAACCGACATGAAGTCCTGCATACATCTGAAGGTGGCTGAAAGCAATAAAACCAGAGGAAGCCATAGTAACCTGGTAACATTTTATTACTTTTCGCGTTGGCTTCTGCGGTGAAATGCTACGTTTGCTGCGTCAGGAGCCACTAATGTTAGCACTCTTTCCGTTTGAATGCAATCATAAAACCAAGATTAATCCATCTATCGACGTGACGTGAGCCATTTTTCCTACGCAGTGCAACTTATTCGGTAGGCAAATGGCAAAAGGATCAAATATTTCCAAACAATACTACAGCCTTTCGGAATACCTAGATGAACGAAGAATAATAAAAATGGCAAAAATTCACCCACCGACCGCTGTTCAATATTCCTATCGAAAACTGGTGAGAGAATTTTACCACCCCGAACCAGCGCTCTTGGAAGAAGTCAATAGCAAAACTTGAAATTCCATTTCCCCTAATCGCCATTGTTTCTCCTCCTACAGCAAAAAACGATTCTCACTGCTGCCACTCATATTGAGGCCTCTATTGCTTCTTGCACAGCGAACTGGATTTACGGCTATCGCAGTGATGCCAGATTCATAGATATAAAATGTGCGGATCAACATTAAACATTCGGAATATTTAAGTCATATTTATAGAGTTGAAAATTGAGCAGATTTCCAGGTGATGTCAGATTCAAAGTTCACAAGAAACTAAAGAATTTACAAACGATTTTGAGACATAATTCAAAGGGAATTCTTAAAGTGGCACTCCAATGGAAGTCGAGATTTATTTGCTATGAGGGCCTTGACATGTTCTCAAGTGTTCGAGGTGTATACATAGAGTAGAAAAAGGAGATTCCTTCCACACATAATTTGCTCCCCCTGGATGGGGAATACATGTTATGACGGGAATAAAAATAACTGCTACATATGCAAGACGAAGGAACACCCGATGACTTCCAGCTCCATACGAAAGGTTCAAAAGCAGCTCGAAAAGCAACCAGATAAGAATCAAAAACAAAGAACCGAGCGATATCACCTCGGATATCACGGCTATGTTCTTAGATAAATAAGAGCTCTTTCAGAGGTTTTTGAAGGCGTATCCAGAGAACTTCAAGGGTCAGCCTATAGGCCGTCAGAGACAACTTTGAACTGCTTCTAGGGGAGTTATAATTCAAAGGGCTAGTTCAAAATTGCGCAGCTACATTGAAATATCGATTTCTACGTAATCCAGTCGATGCTATTCGTCCAGTGCTTTAGGATGACCATTTTACTACAACAGTTTTATCCATCCCTTTTTCGTTTCAGTGCGGTGACTCACCTTGTGATTTGACGGCCATTCCACGGGAAAAAGTGACACGGGTAAGTACAGAGTGGCTGTCTATCTATCTTCTCTGCTCCTAGCCCATCCATGCAAAACAATAAACACAATATTGCTAGACGCTAATGATCGTTATGAAACTGTAATTATTGGTTCAACGGGGAAAGATAAATAAATGGGGAACCAATCAATTGCCGTGCTATTAGCCATCGATTAATGTACTCGATGATAGTGTATTGCTAGATGGAACTGAGTAAGGTAGTTGGGGATCCGTCGTCCGAATGATATTGCTTTTAATTTTTTAGCCATCAGTTATCGTTTGCAATTTTAAGTTTTCGTTATCAATATTGAATTTTTAATAAAGTCTACTTAATCATCGAATTTCCAATAAGAGGCTCACTTAACCGAAGCAGACGAGAGAAAGTGCTTCAGATCCCATATCAATAAAATATGATTAAGGGCCCAAAATAGTAAAGACAATTAACACCGCAGCTATCCAAGTTGCTCTCCGAATGGGATTAATGAATCATTCATCAGCATCGTTACCCCCGGAAAATGTGCTGCTACCGTCAATTGCCCAGTACTAGAAAAGAACACACAGCCAAACCAAATAATCGATCTTCCTCCCCCTCCAACCCCAAACCAGGCACACGAACCAACGAACGAATGAACGTCCTAATTGGGTTACCATTAGGAGCTACTTACCCATTCCCCCGTTCCTCCGGTTCACAATAATTCACCACCCGAGACAGACTCAATGAATGAAACCAACGACGACGACGACCACCACGATCAAGAGGGTGAACTGGACTCTCATACTCCCCCATGTACGTCATGTCTATTCACATTGATTTTTACTCGCTTTTCATCCTCCCCCACGAACAATGGGCTCACCGCAGTTCAGAACAAACACGAAACTCCAATCCATCTTGCACCGCCTACGTCAAAGCGTGAAGGGCAAGAGGAGGGATGCCACGTGTGAATGATGAGCGAAGTTGTTTGCCGCTGACTGCCGGCCGCGTCTTCCCAGCAGTTGATCCGAGCGCCCCGGCTGACTGAGTGATGACGAGATGGTAAAATGGATCGACGAAGTTGCTGCAAATGTCGGCACATTTGGTTAATTTTGTTAGTCGGTAATGCTTTCATGGAGTCGAGCAGAAATGTTTTGGACGTGGTTGGACAGTTCCAAGCTAGGCAATATAGGAAAAGGAACACCTGAAAATTTGACCCTTCGAAACGGAACGGTTCAGTGGCAAGCAAATTTGCGGGCTATTGAAATTCATCGCTTTGTTCCATTAAATTGAATTCGACCATTTGTTCCTTCGACCTTTTGTTGATTTAGACCAAATTCCGTTCGACCATTTGTTCATTTCGATCTTTCGTCCATTAAAAATCTTCCTATCTTATTTAATTCGACGTTTTGTACGTCAAAATTTAATTCGACCTTTTGTCCATTCGACTATTTGTCCCATTTGATCATTTCGACCTATTGTCAATTTCAGCCTTTTCTTTATTTACACTATTTGTCCTTTTCGACCATTAGCTCTCTTAAATATCATTTGACCTTTTGTCCATTTCGACCTTGAGTCCACTTCGACCTTTTGTCCATTTCGACCTTGAGTCCACTTCGACCTTTTGTCTATTTCGACCTTTTGTCCATTTCGACCTTTTGTCCATTTCGACCTTTTGTCCATTTCAACCTTTTGTCCATTCCACATCGAACGCTCGACTGTTTCGGTCAAGTATTGCTTGCACTCCGTAATCGGTACTAGTTTTTTTCCCCTATTGAGGTTTTTTTTTTCAATCCGCTTTCATACTGAGTGGTGTTGTAG